ACGTTTGCTGAGAAGAGATAGTCTTCATACCCGAATAATCTCAAGGACGGCGCGATGACCATGTTCATTTTTGGAGGAGAACTCGCCCACCTCATCCCCCCTTCCCCAGATCACCCCTTCCCTCGAGAAACCCCCCCAAAAAACGAAGAAAAGAGCAACTAGGGACAGAGGCTCCTTAATTAACAGCTAATAGTCGAGGTGACCGTTTTCCTCCTCTAATCAATAGCATTGCTATTTTTAAAATCCCACTGCCTGCCCATGCAGTGAAGGCAGCCGTGCAAATTAAAGTGCAAAAAAATACGTATAAAGTTGTCAAATCTGGGCAGCTGGGGCTGGGATTGGGAAGCGCTGCTGGATTTTTCCAATCCTTATCCCTGGATGCAGTAAGCAAAGGTGCAGCGAGTCTTTCGGGATCCTACCTTAGGCTGGGAAATGAATGTTTGCCTTCAGGGGCTGGGAAAGAAAGGACCCACCACCCCCTTCCAGACCTCATGAAATAAGATATATGCAATTGCCTGCTTCTTTTTAAGGAAAATATCTTGACATTTACTGTCTGGGGAAAGTGCTGCTCTTTGTCTTTACTGTTTTGGCCGTGTTTAGGTGTGGGGAAGGGGGGGGGGATTGCGTTTTGCGGGTGCATGCGCTTGATCGTAGCGTTATCGGTGTGCTGGTATTGTACTTTTAGGTGTTTCATTGTACCCTCCCGGAGTTTATTTTATCCCCCCCCTCTCTTTTTGCCCTGACCTTCACTGAAAAATGTCATTCCCTCCTTCCCCACCCCAAAACGAGGAGGCTTTGGAGAGATACGTGATGTGCATAAATAAAGAGAAAGGGGGAAGGGGGGGGGGGGGAGCACAAAAGCTTCAAACTAGGCAATTTCTGCGTGCAAGCATTTTTATGCATCGAAGCGCTGCCCGCGCCGTCAGATGTCAGCCCTGAGCGCTGCTCTGCGCTCCCCGCGGGGGAAAAAATAGACATTTTTGGGGAAAAAAAAAGCTATTTATGGGGGTTTTCAGCACGGGGAGGGATGGGGGGGCTGCTCAGGCACCTCCGTG